CTGAGCCAAAGTGGCCAAGGCTGTTCTGGACTTTCTATTCTGTTCCAATTATCTATTTGACTACCCTGATGCTAATACCACATGCTCTTGATTACTGTAGCTTTTTTTTTTTTTTATCCTCACCCGAGGACATTTTCTTTTGTTCAGGTAGAGTGGGAGGGAGAGAGAGAGAGAGAGAGAGAGAGAGAGAGAGAGAGAAACATCGATGTGAAAGGGACACATCGAGTGGCTGCCACCCGCACGACCGACCAGGGCCGGGGACAAACTGCAACCGAGGTACATGCCCTTAGCGGGAACCAAACCCGGGTCTCTCGGGACCGCAGGCCGATGCTCTAACCGCTGAGCCAAACTGGCCAGGGCACTGTAGCTTTATAATACCTCTTGAAGCTGGTAGTGTAGGTCATTTGACTTTATTTTTGTTTTCGAAATTGTTTTGACTATCTAGGTCCTTTGCATTTCCAAATGAATTTTAGAAATAGTTTCTACAAAGAAACCGGACTTTTGATTGGGAGTGCATTGAGTATATAGGTCTATTTGGAGAGAATTGATATCTTAAAATGTTTTAGTCTTTCAATTCATAAACATAGTATCTGTCCAATTATTTAATCTTTAATTTCTCAACATTTTATAATTTTTAATATGTAGATCTTATACTTTATCATCCCTAAGTATTTCATTTTCATATTTCTTGATGCTGTTTTAAATGACATTTTAAGAAAATTTCAATTTCTGATTGTTTGTTGCTAATAGATAGAAATACAGTTGATTTGTAAATCGATCTTGTATCCTGCAACTTTGCAAAACTTGTTAACGATTCAGTAGCTTTTTTGTAGATTCTGTGAGATTTTCTATTATGCTGTGAATAAATATAGCTTACTTCTTCCTTTCTAATTTAGACACCTTTATTTGTCTTATTGCACTGGCTAGAACTCGAGTATAATGTTAAAGTGGTGAGAGCAAACATCCTTACCTTTTCCTGACCTTAGGGGGAAATCGCTGTCTTTTATTACGAAATATGCTGTTAACTGTAGGTGTTGCCCTTTATCAGGATGAGGAAGTCCCCTTCCAGTTCTAGATTGTTGGAGGACTTTTAAAAATCAGAAATGAATGTTGGACTTTGTCAAATGCTGGGACATCTCTCTAAGGTAGAAGACAGATGGTGGCACTCCCACCAACAAGCACTAAGAAAGGGGGACAGTCCTTGATGGGTTTTTCTCCATCTATTGAGATGGCTTTTCTTTTCTTTTTAAATCTTTATTGTTGAATGTATTACAGATGTTCCTCATTTTTCCCCCATTGACCCCTTCCCTCCCCCCTCCCGCCTTTTCCCACACTATTGTCTGTGTTCATTGGTTATGCATGTAAGTTCTTTGGTTTATTTTTTCCCACCCCCAAACCCCTTTCCCTTTGAGGTTCTTGCTTTTCATCACTCTGAATATTTCTTGCCACTCCCTTCAAATGAATTTGTACTTCTTAATCCCTTCACCTTTTCACCCATTCCCTCAACCCCCCTCCCATCTGGCAACCAACAAAATGTTCTCTGTATCTATGAGAATGTTTCTGTTCTGCCTGTTCATTTTGTTTGTAGATTCCATTGTCGATAGATATGTATTCATTGCCATTTTGTTTGTTCATATATGTTATCTTTTTCTTCAAAAAGACCCTTCATCATTTCATATAATAACGGTTGGGTGGTGACGAACTCCTTTAACTTTTTCTTGTCTGGGAAACTCTTTATATGGCCATCGATTCTAAATGACAGCTTTGCAGGATAGAGTAATCTTGGTTGTAGGTTCTTGCTTTTCATCACTCTGAATATTTCTTGCCACTCCCTTCTGGCCTGCAAAGTTTCTTTTGAGAAATCAGCTGACAGCCTTATGGGAACTCCCTTGTAGGTAACTAACTGCCTTTCTCTTGCTGCTTTTAAGATTCTCTCTTTGTCTTGAACCTTTTGCATTTTGATGATGATGTGTCTTGGTGTGGGCTTCTTGGGGTCCATCTTGTTTGTGCTTCCTGGACTTGTATGTCTGTTTCCTTCACCAAGTTAGGAAAGTTTTCTGCCATTATTGTTTCAAACAGGTTTTCAATTTCTTGTTCTCTCTCTTCTCCTTCTGGCACCCCCAAGATGTGAATGTTGGCATGCTTGAAGTTGTCCCAGAGGCTCCTTACACTATCCTCATTTTTTCGGATTTTTTCTTTTTGCTGTTCTGATTGGGCATTTTTTGCTTCCTTATATTCCAAATCGATGGTTTGCTTCTTGGATTTATGTACTCTACTATTGAATCTGTGTAAATTATTCTTTATTTCAGTTAATGCCTCCTTCATTTCTGACTGTGCATCCATCATTTCTGACTGGTCCTTTTTTTATGCTCTTGAGGCCCTCACTGAGTTCATTGAGCATCCTTATAAGCAGTATTTTGAACTCAGCATCTGTTAGGTTGCTTATCTCCATTCGCTTAGTTCTTTTCTTGGGGTTTTGTTCTGCTTTTTCCTTTGAGACCTGTTTCTTTGTCTCCTCATTTTGGCTGCCTCCCTGTGTTTGTTTCTGTGTATTACTTAATGAGAGGTATGGGGCTAGCTGAGACCAGATGCTGCTTGTTTGAAAGAATTTCGGATCCAAGACAGGCCAATCCTATGGTTAAGCAACTGGCAACAGCTTGGGTGGACCTGAAAGTTGTGTGGGGTGGGGTGGGGCGGGGCCTCAGGGAGTCACCAGGGCGGGGCTACCAGTGTGAGCCAGGTTGCTGGAGTCCCAGATATGGCGGCTCTCTGCTGACCCAGGGAAGGGCTCACCAAAGGAACAAAACCTCTGACAGCAGTTTGTCCCAGAGAAAGCCCCCTCTCCAGCCCTCACTTCAGTGCCAAACAGCTCAGTTCTTCCCTGTATGTCTCTGGCACCCCTCGAGCTGCCTCCCCTCCAAGCTTAGAGGGAGAGAGTCCGACAAGTCCGTGCTCGGGACCTTTAAGGAGCTGCCTGGGGCTCCAGACGCGTCAGCTTCTCTGAGCCTCTGTTCCCGCTGGTTTTTCCAGCCAGAAGTGATGGGGATTCTCTTCCTGGCACTGGAACCCTGAGCGAGGCATCTGGTGTAGGACGGGGACCCCTCAGTCCTCAGGGAGGACCCTCCCAGCCGAGGTATCCTCCTGATTTTTATCGGCCACACGTGGATATGGGACCAGCTCATCCGCCTCTGCCCCTCCTACCAGTCTCGATGTAGCTGCTGCTTTAATTTCGTAGTTGTAGGACTTCCATTCAGCTTGATTTCAGGTGGTTTTAAATGATGGTTGTTCTGTAGTTTAGTTGTAACTTTGGTGTGGTTGTGGGAGGACGCGATACCGTCTTAACCTACCCGCCACCTTGACCGGAAGTCCGAGATGGCTTTTCTTTTTGTCTGTTAATTTTGAGAAAACATTGGTTGATTTTTAAATGTTCTGGGCAAGTCACTTCTCTCATGGCCTCGTTTTTTGGGTTTGTGTGTGTGTGAATGGGACCATCCGCCCTGGCAGGATAGCTCAGTAGGTTAGAGCGTCGTCCCGGATATGCCAAGGTTGTGGGTTTGATCTCTGGTCAGGGCACATACAAGAAGCAACCAATGTGTGCATAGATAAGTGGACCCACAAATCTCTCTCTAACAAATGGACCAACAAATCGATGTCTCTCCCTCCCTTCCTCTCTCTCTAAAAATCAATCAATAAAATAAAAAACACACACCTTAAAGCACATTTATGAGGCTGGCATGCATTGGCATATGGAAAATACCTGGCGTATAGTAGACACTCCATATACATTTACTCCTAGTTTACAGACTGTATCCACTTCTTACCCTGCCTCTCCCTGCTCTAAGTAGGGACTCTTCATTCTAACCTTCCTCCCAGTGTATACTCCAGTGCCTCTTGGCACAAAGTAGGGACGGTAAATACTTGAAAATAAGTATGAAAGAATGGGTCTCCAGCCACCGCCCACCGCACTCCCCCAGGTTATTATCTCACGGCTGCATCTCACTGCTTAGGAGCAGCATCAGGTCCAGACCCTGAACCTGCCTCCGCCAACCGCGGCACAGCTCGAGCCCGCCCCATTCCGAAAAAAAAAAACCCTCGGAAGTGGACCAATCAACTGTTTAGCAACGCTGTTAGTCCCGCCCAAAAGTTGAAACAGCCGCTTCCGAACGCGGAGTAACGTTCGCAGGCGCGTCCCCGCCCCGCCCCCTATCTGGCCAATCAGGGTGGCCGCTTCGAGCCCCGCCCCCGGCCGGCTTCGCAAAGGGTGGGCCTGGCCGAGCTCCCCGCGCGGGCGGCGTCCCCGGGCGCTGATCCGTAGCTTCCGGGTGGCGAGTGCCAGAGTGTCTGGGCCGGGGATGGGGTGGGGGCGGGGGGAAGGGCTCGGCAGGGCGCCCCGCATGTGCCCCCGCGGAGGGTTCGGGGGCCGCGGTGGGAAAGATGGGTTTTACAGTAAGTGCCACGGCGGGCTGAGCCTCCCTTTCCCGGGGCCCCGCCCCGCGTCCGCCGGCTCCGCCCCCGCGTCCGCCGGCCCCGCCCCCGGCGCCGCTGCTGCCCAGTGTCTCTTGAACGTTGCCCTCCCGTTGCATTTGCGCGGCCTGCAGCTTTCCGCTTTCCAGAACCGGGCTGGAGCCGGCGGAGGGCAGTGCAGGCTGTTCTCTTGGACCCCGTGCGAGACGTAGTCTCCGATCAGAAGGGCGGGCGCCGGGACTGCGGTCGCGGATCTGGCTGTTTGTCCCCAGAGCGTCGTCCGTACTCGCATCTCCCCTGTACCCCTTCCTTGCGGGGCAGTGGGAGGGGGCGGGTGCCAGGGTAAGTCTGGCTTCTCTGTGCTTGTAGCCGCCTGCAGCCGGGCGCCGAGGAGGCCCCCCACCCCAGGTGTGGGCGAGTCCCAGGTGAGTGGGTGGGAGGGCTGGGCGGGGTTTCTGAGAGTGGATGTCAGACTGGACCCAGAGTTACAAAGGGATAGAGTGTATTGGAGGAGCCTTTCTGTTCCGGGGAGTCTGGGCTTGGGGGGGGTCTGAGGGAGGTCGGAGGCCCCTTCCCCTAGTCTGCAGAAACTCCTTCCAGAGGCATCTGTGTATCCCCGAGCCTGGAACCCTGGGCTGGCGGGTGGCGTGGCCAAGGCTGGAGTAGGAGGAGGCAGCTGTCCAAAGGCCTGCGTGACCATGGACCCTGGAGCTAGATTTGGGTTCAGCTTCTGATGTTGCCACTTACTGGCTGTGTAATTTGGGGCAAGTCGCTTAACTTCTTTGAACGTCGGTTTCTTCATTTGTAAAACGAAAAGGAAGCAGGAAGAGCAGGCAGGAGAGAGGCAAGAATCCCTTCAGGAACCTGCTTTGTGTTGGATCCACAAGTTAGAATGCCTTATGTTTGTAGAATTGTTTTCTGTAAATCAAACCGGTCTAATTTCACAGTTCAAGTTGTTAAAGGGGGATTGCTCTCTTGTGGCACGTAAGGAAACACTCTGGACAGATGAATAATAATGGACATGGATTGCATGCTTACTGTGTACCAAAAACGACTGAGATTTAACATGCATCACCTCATTCAATCCTTACAGCAACCTTATGAGGTAGATGCTGTTATCATCTCTGTGTGGCAGTGTGACACCGAGGCAAGGAGGGGTTCAAGGGACTGAACCAATTGCCTGAGACTGCACAACTGGGGCGTATCAGAGCGAACCCAGGCTTTTGGCTCCACAGGGCAGCCTCCTGAGCCCTGTGTCATGCTGTCTTGGCTTCAGGTAGCAGAGCTGGGCCTGGAATTCAACCCTGAGGGCTCCCTGCAGCCCAGGAGTGAGCGACATCGCTGTGGGAAGCCAGATGATACGCCTGGGATGGTGGAGACCAAGGACCTGGCGCAGCTGCGGCAGCTCAACCTGGAGCTTCTGAGGCAGCTGTGGGTTAGACAGGATGCCATGCGGCGGTCGGTGGCCAAGGCGGCCTTAGAGGTGGGTGTCCGCCTTGGGAACTCCCAGAGGGCGAGAGGGGCTGCTAACCCTCAGGCCAGAAGCCAGACCTCCAGGGTCATCTTATTGCTGATGAGAAAACAGGTCCAGCAAGGGAAGGGCCTGGACTGGGACACTGCAGAGGCTGGAGCAGGAGTGAGGACCCAAACCTTTATGCCTAGTACATGGCAGCTGGGTGGATGACTGCATAACCTGGTCTCTCTGTTCTAGTCAAGCCTGGACTTCAGCAGCAGACATGACTCAGAGATGCCATCGTCCCAAAAGACATCCCCAGTGGTCCCGAGAGCCTCCAGCCCTCAGGATGCCAACCAAGGTGATTCCTGCGATACGTCCTCTCCTGGCGGGGCCAGCTCAGGGTCAATCTCTCTCCCACCTGCCAAGTGCCAATACCAGGAGTCCCTGAGCCGACAGAGGCCCTGCTTGCCACCGTTGCTGTCCACCTCAGACTCAAGTGACCCAGAGCGACCCGCAGAGCTGGAGGCACACGCCCCAAGGTTCATCCTGGATCAACAAAGCAAACCATCCAAGGTAACATGGGAGAATGGGGCATCTGTTGATGGGGGCTCCCATGAAGCTCAGTTTCCCTGTCTGACAAATGCATTCATGGGCAGGCTCCCTTGCAAGGTGAGAGTCTGTCCAGGAGATACCTGCGAATCATGTCCAGCTCAGCCTAAGTGCTGGATGAGCGATGATCGTTAGTTTCTCAGCCTGCACTTTGGGAAGAAGGTAATGAGCCTCACCCATTGTATAGATGGGAATACCAAGGCATAGAGGACACACTTATTCACAGTCACACCTAGAGATGAGCGGGGGCCATATGCTCTATATTTCAGCTCCGGAGCCCTCAGCCAAGCCCTGGGGTCCATGTCAGTGTGTAAGTTAAGACACCTTTTCTTCTCCTAAGCTCAGGCCTCCTCTGGCTGGGCTTGCTGGCCTAACCCTTCCATCTTTGCCTCGGCAGCCAAGTGTGACCTTCGACAAGGAGTCCCCAGTGCCTGAGAGGAGCTGGCGCTTCAGACCCTACCTGGGCTATGACTGGATTGCAGGTACGGCCCGCCCCACGCACACACCTTGCCTGAGAGTCGGGGTGGAGGCCCCCTTGCCTACACACCTGCTTGAGCCCCAACCCAGCGCTGCTGCAGCGTGTCTGACTGGCCCACCCTCCTCGGTGAGCACCTCTGTACCATGTCTCCTCTGTCAGCCCCTGGCACAGTGACAGGCTCAGAGACTGCTCAACGTGTGCTTGTCTGGACTCCCCTGTTTTTTGTTTTTCTTTATTGGTGTTAGAGAGAGAGGAAGGGAGAGGGAGAGATAGAAACATCGATGAGAGAGAACATCGATTGGTTGCCTCCTACATGCCCCCAGTGGGGATTTAGCTCACAACCTCGGCATGTGCCCTGACCGGGAATCGAACTGGCGACCTCTTGGTGCATGGGTCAAGTGCCAATACCAGGAGTCCCTGAGCCGACAGAGGCCCTGCTTGCCACCGTTGTGGCTCCACCACTGAGCCACACTGGCAGGGCTGGACTCCTCTGTTTTTTGGTTTTTTTTTATCCTCACACGAGGACATTTTTCCATTTTTTGTTCAGATAGAGCGGGAGGGAGAGTGAGGGGGAGAGAGAGAGAGAGAGAGATACATCCATGTGAAGGACACATCGAGTGGTTGCCACCCGCATGATCCAACCAGGGCTGGGGATAAACTGCAGCCAAGGTACGTACCCCTAGTGGGAACCGAACCCGGGTCTCTCTGGACCATAGGCCAATGCTCTAACCGCTGAGCTAAACTGGCCAGGGCGACTCCCCTGTTTTTATCTCTGCCTCCTCCTCCCTCACCCGAGTTCTAGACTTGCATGTCTGGCTATCTTCTCTATGTGGCACATTAGGTATCTCAGATGACTTTCATGTCCAAAGGCAGGGTCGTGATTTTCTTCTTACTTGCAGTCTCTCCTATCTTCGTAAATGGCAACTCTAAGTACCTAATAATTAGTCAGGTCATAACCTTGGGAATCAACCCTGATTTCCGTTTTTCCTTTCTACATAGTTCTCTTCCCGACCACGAGCACATCCTGGTAGCCCTGCCTTCAGCATATTTCTAGCATCCAACTACTTCTCTCCACCAGCATGCCTATAGTCACCTCCTGACTGGTGGCCCTGCTTTCCCTCCCCTTACAGCAGCCCAAGGGGGAATTCTGTAAAAATACATGGCTGATCTGATTGTGTCACTCCTTGTCCCCAAGCCTGGGCTTCCCAGCCTCAGCTCCACTCTCATCCCTCATTCCCCTCCAGCCACTTTCACCTCCTGGTTGTTCCTCAAATACACTTCTGCCCCAGGGCCTTTGCACTTGCTCTTCCTTCCGAGAGTAGGGGCTTTGTCTAGTTCACTGCTCTTTCCCCAGCACATAAAACTGTCTGGCCCATAGCAGGAGCTCTGTACATACCTTTTGCATGGGCGATTGGCCATGTATCAGGGTAGACAGACACAGACAGAACCAGCAGTCACAGTGAGTGGAAGGTCCCTTTCAGGTCAGGCCTGCTGGGGGTGAAGCAGGTGGACTGGGATGCCAACACTGAGTGTCCCTTAAGCCTTGACCAGTGGCCACACAGCAGCTTGCTTTGCCCACTTCAGAGTCTCTGGACAACAGCTCGCCCATCAGCAGCAAGCCTGAGGCCTTCTTCTTGCAGCTGCAGGAGTTCCGGGAAGCCAACAAGGAGGACTGCATTCACAGTGAGCCCGGGTGAGTCGGCCCGGCGGGTGGGGGCGGGTGGGGGCGGGAGCCCCGGGACCCTGGTGCCAGCCTGCTCACCCTCGTCGCTCTCACAGACCCCAGTGGCCAGACCCGCGGGAGAGCGACGGCGCCCAGAAAGACCACGAGTGTGAGTGCGAACCCTCTGGGCCTGGGGAGGCAGCTGGGGTGTTGGGGACTCAGGGAGGCCTGGTGTCTGGACAGGGCAGAGCAAGCCCTGGGTGACGTCCGGGAAGCTGAAGCCTGGCCTCGTGGGGATGAGGGTCGGTGCTGTGTCACCCCACCTCCCCACTCCCCAGCAGCCTTCATTTTTTTCTCAGCTGCCTCCTGTCCTGTGTGCCCCCACCTCCCACACCCCCCTTTCTGCACGCGTCACTAGTAGAGAGGTGTCCCGGCTCAGTCACATGAGTGCGCGAGTCTTTGCTGTGGATTTGCATGTGCAGCGTACACTGTGCATATGTGTGTGTAAGGGGTGTTTGTGTGAACATATGTGTGTGCGCCCTGTGTGTATCCACGAATGTGATAGCCATGCTTTGTGTAGCACACATGACATTTCCACATGTGAAGGTGCTGGCCAGTGTGTGGCTGTGTGCACCCGTGTGCCGTGCTTGAGTAGGAGTCCATGCTCTGTTGTGTGTGTGAGCCCAAGTCCGTGTGCATGCTGTGTGTGTGTGCACGTGTACACCCTGTGAGTGGCGGGGGTGCTGTTGGAGGGGTGGGCGGGCCTGTGTGGTTGGGGGCAGAAGGGGCCCCGGGGTTAGGTTTCTGGGCTGAGGGGTCTGCTCCTTCTCATGGGCCTCCCAGGTGTGTACTGTTACCGTGTCAACCGGCGCCTGTTTCTGGTGCCTTCGGATCCCGGCACCCCCTGCCGCCTGTGCAGGACACCACGGGACCAGCAGGGCCCTGAGACCCTGGCAGAGCCAGCGCAGGTCAGGTGAGTGGCCAGAGCAGGCAGGACACCTGGGGGCATCCTTGGGGGCAGGGGCAGCGGAGGAGGGGATCAGAGGCTGGGGCCCACCAGTTTGAGGGAGGGAAGGAAGGATGGGCCTGGGGCTGTGGCCCCACGGCAGCCGGTGGCCTCCGCAGCCATGCCCCACTGTCACCCCTGCCCAGGGTGAGCGTCCCACTGTCCATCCTGGACCCCCCGCACCGCCACCGCATCCACCGGCGGAAGAGCTTTGACGCCTCCGACACGCTGGCCCTGCCCCGGGTGAGCAGCCACATGGGACCTGGGTGGGGGTGGGGGTGGACTGACCCCTGACTGGCCCAGTGGCTGTGCCCAGGCCACACAGTGAGGCTGAGCTCAAAGAAGGTGAGCACCCAAATCTCTGGAGTCCAGGCGGCCACTCCCACCACCTGTGCTCTGCTTGTTCCCCGAGGGAGGCGGGCACCCCCCCTCCCCGGCGTCCAGGAGTGTCTGCCCACACGTTGTGTAAATGGGCCCTGTTTATGGAACTTGTGTGTGTGCGTGCGCAGTCCTGTGGGGGATCGTCTCCTGGGGCCCCACGGCAGCTGAGTGCAGGCCCTGCAGTCCCCCACTTTATAGATAAGGACACTGAGGCAGAGGGGCGGTGACTCCAAGGTCAGCCTGGTGGGAAAGCTGGGATTTGAACCCAGGTCCTCATGCTTCTGTAGTGCCTCCCTCCCATAATGTATCCAGGGTGGACCCCAATCACTCCCAGTTGAGGTTGGGGGAACTGGGCCTGGGGGAAGAAGGGATGCCAAGGAAAGTCAGTTTGCACATCTGTAAAACGGGCACAACACACTGTCCTCAGGCTTGTGAGGTGAGGCGGGGCAGGGGGCATGGGGCAGCACCTGGCACACAGGAAGTGCTCCGTGTCCACGGCCTTCCCTCCACCCAGCTTGGGTCCGAGCCAGGGCCTGGGTGAGCAGGGTTCGGAAAGACAGGCCCGCTGGGTGGTTGCAGGCCCCTGCCTCAGTCTGCAGGGGCCACCATGACTGACTGTGGAGAGCAAGGGGCCAGGCCAGGTGCCTTGACCCCTTGCTCTCCACAGCACTGTCTGCTGGGCTGGGACATTCTCCCTCCAAAATCCGAGAAAAGCTCAGCCCCCAAGAGCCTGGACCTCTGGTCCTGTGTCACCTCTGAGGCCCAGCCCCGGAAGCACTCAGCCGACCTCTCCCACACGGTATGGTCCGGGCTGCCCCTGGGAGGGTCAGATGCCCTGGAACAGGCCTGGGGACTGTTGAGTCCTGGGGGCAGAATTGGAGTGTCTCCCCACCGGGGCCCATCCCCATCTCCTGGCCCTGACCCAAGCCACACTTCCAGGCTCCAGTACTTCCCACCAGCCACCCCATCCCACCCGAGACGGTGACCCCAACTTTAAGATCCAGAAGGGGATGAGGCTGGAACTGGGGTGACCTGTCCCCAAAGTGGCCCCCCCTGATACCTCCTTCTTCACCATCTAGGCCCTGCCAATGCGGGTCCCGCCCCCAATCTGCTCAGAACCCCCGGTGCCCCCGGCTGAAGCCCGAGGATCGGCCACGTGGAGGAAGACAGTGCCCCTGCCATCCCCTCTGGCCTTCCCCTCTGGGGTGCCCACGAGAGAGGACCCCTGCTCAGAACCCCCGGTGCCCCCGGCTGAAGCCCGAGGATTGGCCACGTGGAGGAAGACAGTGCCCCTGCCATCCCCTCTGGCCTTCCCCTCTGGGGTGCCCACGAGAGAGGACCCCTGCCTGGCCTCCGCTGGGGGTGGACTCAGGCCCCACCCTCCTAGGTCGGGCAGGTGGGTAGGCCCAGGCCTATCTCCTTCCTGGGTTCAGGAGGGGGTTCTCGGGGGTGGGAGGTAAAGGCATTCTGGGATGTGTTTGGAAATAAAGCTCAGCTCTCTGAGCCCCAGATTCCCACGTGTGCGGGGTCTGTCCTGCTGATGTTCTCAGTGCCCAGGGGGTGCCCTGGCCTCGGCCTGCCCGCCCCTCACCTGGGGAGACACTTCTGACAGCTGTGCTGAGCGGGCGGAGCCAGTGCCCGAGCGCGGCTCTTTGCGCGGCTCCAACTCTGGGTAGGTGGCCTTCCAGGTGGGGTGAGGGTTCCCAAGACACGTGAGGTCAAGGTCAGTGTTCAAAAGCGATCTCTGCTCTAGCCAGTTTGGCTCAGCGGTTAGAGCGCTGGCCCTTGGGCCAGGGGGTCATGGGTTTGATTCTGTCAAGGGCGTGTGCCTGGGTTGCGGGTTTGATCCCTGGCCCTGGTCAGGGTCATGTGGGAAGCAATCAATCAATGTGTCTCACATCAATGTTTCTCTCTCTCTCTCTCTCCCAGTTTCTAAAAAAAAATAAAATAAAATAAATGGAAAAATATCCTCAGGTGAGGAGTAACAACGACAACAACAAAAAGCCATTTTAGCGAGGTGCTTGGGGTCTCATGCTGTGCCCTGTAGACCAGGCTGATGTTTCGACAGTGGGGAGTAAGCGAGCGCTCCCCTCCTTGGTCCCTGATACCAGGGTCCATTCATAGAGGGACTCCCTTGAAGTCCCTGGGTCAGGTAGCTCCTTCTCCCCTCGCTAGCCCAGCCCCAGAAGCCATGGGTGCCCCAGAGGGATCAGATGGGGACACTGAGGGCCAGATGGTGAGCTGGCGGCAAGGTTGGTGGGAAACCCAGATCGTCCTCCTAGATTAATAAGCAGCACCTGTCGCCCTCCATACCTTGAATGATGAAATTCCTGTTTTTCTAAGATAAAAATGGGAACTGAAGCCCAGAGAAAGCATGTGCTTTTTCTGAGGTTTCTCAGCAGAGTTGTGGAGCTAGGGCTGTGGTCTCTGTGGTTCCTGCCTAGAGCTCATGAAGCCCTGCGATCCTTTCCCTTCCCATCGTGCACAGCACGTGTACTAGGGTGCACAGCACGTGTACTAGGGTGCACAGCACATGTACTAGGGTGCACAGCGTTATGCTGCAGTAACAGATGAACCCAGAGCCCAGTGGTTCAACATAAAGGCTTATTTTTTGCTGACTTGCTCACACTACTTTTTTGTCATGGGTCACTTGCGGCCTGTGTTGTTTTTTTTGTACATGCCCTTAGCGGGAACCGAACCTGGGACTGTCTGGTCCGCAGGCTGACGCTCCAACCGCTGAGCCAAACTGGCCATGGCTGGCCTATGTTTTTGACATTGTCTCTTGGGGACCCAGGCCAATGGAGGCTCTACCCTGGATGACATCACCTGTTGCTTCAACTCAGTAATCACATAGCACATAGATCACTTCTGCTTATGGTTTACTGGCCAGAGCTGGACACCTGGGCCCTGCCTGCCAGCCTGGAGTTGGGACGTGGAGGGGGCTTGTGGGATTTTTGGTGAGCATTACTGTCCTCCACGCCGTTACCTGACTCCCACAGGCTCTGTCCACGCGAGCCCCGGGCCCAGGGCAGCAGAGACCACTAGCAAAGGTACTACAGATTCTTACCTAGAGTTTTCCCTCACTGTGGGGTTCAAACCTCAAGTGCCTTCAGTGGCCAGGCAGGTAAGGCGACTGGGCGGGGGAGCTCAGGGCCTGGTGAGCATGTGTGCCCTCCAAAGGCTTTCAAGTTGAAATGCCTGTGTGATCCCAACTAGACATGTCTGTGGGCAGATGCCACTGCAGGTCATGGTTTGCTGCCTGATTCCAGGACCTGAAGAAATAGTCTCTTCCACATGTCATTTTGTTGTTAATCTTCACCCGAGGATATTTTTTCATTGATTTTTTTAAAGGGTGGAAGGGAGGGAGGGAGGGAAAGAGAGAGAGAGAAATATTGATGTGAGAGAGACACATGGATTAGTTGCCTCCTGCACATGCCCTGACCGGAGCCAGGGATCGAACCTGCAATTCAGGTATGTGCCCTTGATTGCAATTAAACCTGCGACCCTTCGGTCTATGGGCTGATGCTCAAACCACTGAGCCAAACTGGCCAGGGCCACTTGTAATTTTTTAAAATTAATTTTGAATTGTGTAAAACATACATGACATACAATTTACATATACATGACATACAATTTTTATACATACAGTTTAGTGACATTCTTGTACAATCATTCCCAGAATTATTTTCGTCTTGCAAAACTGGAGCTTCATATCCATGAAAAAACAACTCTCCATTCTCCTCCTGGTCCCTGGCAGCCATCATGCTACTTTCTGTTTCTGAATCTGACTGCTCTAGGGACCTCAAATAAGTGGAATCATACAGTGTTTGTCGTTTATGGTGACCAGCTTATTTCATTTAGCATAATGCCCTCAAGTTTTATTTATGTTGTAAGGTGTCAGCATTTACTTTTTTTGTATCTTAATCCTCACCCGAGCATATATTTTTTCATTAATTTCTGGATAAAGTGGAAGGGAGGGAGGGAGAAAGAAACATCTGTGTGGGAGAGACATCGACTGGTTGCCTCCCTCACGACCCCGACCAGGGCTGGGGACCAAACTGCAACTAAGGTACGTGCCCTTGACCGGAATGGAACCCACGACTCTTTCGTCCACAGGCCAATGCTCTAACCGCTGAGCCAAACTGGCCAGGGCAGCATTTCCTTACTTTTTAAGGCTGGGTAGTATTTCATTGTATGGATCTACTATTTATTTATTTATTTTTATCCTCACCCGAGGACATTTTTCCACTTTTTGTTCAGATAGAGCGGGAGGGAGAGAGAGAGAAAGAGAAACATCGACGTGAAGGGACACATCGAGTGGCTGCCACCTGCACGACCAACCAGGGCCGGGGACAAACTGCAACCGAGGTACGCGCCCTTAGCGGGAACCGAACCCGGGTCTCTCAGGATCTCAGGCCGACGCTCTAACCGCTGAGCCAAACCGGCCAGGGCTGGATCTACTATGTTTTGTCTGTTCATCCACGAGGGACTCTTGGGTTGCTTTTCACCTTTCGTTGTTGTGAACGATGCTGCTGTGAACACAGGTGAACATCTGTTTGAACCTCTGCCTTCAGCTCTTTTGGTTGGATAGCCGGAAGTGGAGTTGCTGCAGCAGGTGGTAATTCTAGGTTACTTTTCCGAGGAACCACTGTTCTGTAAGTCCTCTCTTACTGTCTTAGATAGGTTCTGCGACTTTAAGTGAAACAAGCATGATGAAACCAATTTTACCACAGGCTAACGGATACCAACAAGAGGTGAGTTCCCACGGCGTCTCACCAGCATAGGGATGAAGGGACGTTATTCGAGGACGTGTACTGTATAGCATCCACAGCGGCACAGTCCCTGCCAGCAATGCCCAAGGGTTCCAGTCTCCCCGCCTCCTCACCAACACGTATTTTCTGCTCGTTTGATAATGCATCCTCGTGGGTGTGAGCAGTATCACTGCCGTTTTGGTTTGCATTTCCTTGATTAGCGATGTTGAACATCTTTTCCTGTGCGCCTACGCCATTCTTGTGTCGTCTTTGGAGAGAGGTCTGTTCAAGTCCTGCGCCCTTTTTTGAATAGGGCTTTTGTGTTCTTGTCTCACATACAATTTTAAGTCAAAGATGCCCGGCCAGTGTGGCTGAGTGGTTGAGCATTGACCCATGCAGCAAGAGGTCGCTGGTTCGATTCCTGCTCAGGGCACATGCCCAGGTGGTGGGCCTGATCCCCACTGGGGGCATGTAAGGTGGTAGTCAGTGTTCTCTCTCATCGATGTTTCTCTCTCTCCCTCTTCCGTCCTCTGTCTCTCACATTAACAAAGAAAACATATTTTAAGTCAAAGAGTCTGTGTGTCATGATTTTGTTAGGAATTCTGTGGGCAGAGAATGCTTTGGAACCCTTAAGCCTCGGACAAAGAGAACAAAATTCACAGCTGAGATTAATCTTGAAGTTCAGCTGATGCAGAACAAGACACATATGTTTCCCATAAAAGTTTAGATTCCATTACGTGGTCTGAGCAGTGGCTTCCCTGGAAGGGCAGTTCTGAGAATTGAGCCAGTTTCCGGTCCCTTTGCTTTTAGCCCCATGGTCAGGAGGCCACAGCCCAAGTCTCCAGACTGCGTTTCACCAAACCTGTGGCATCGCCGATGGAGAGCTCACCCTGACTTTGTAGCACCAGGAGGAATGCTGCCCACTCTGACACCGGCTGTGAGGAACGCTAACTTCAGAGATGTTCAAATGTGAAATAATTTGCACCTTAGAATTAACGAGATGCAAAAAAAGGTCATAAGCCTAAGAACTCTGGTCTTTTTGTATACTGGGCTCTGTGCACCCCGCTGGGCCCCTCCTGGGGCCGTCTGGAACTCGGCTGGAGTGGGGAGAAGGCCACCTTCTGACCTCCGGCTGCCAGCCCGCGGATGCAGCGTGGAGGTGCTGGAGAAAGCCGGCCTCGGGCTCTGTCTTGCCCACGCTGCGTTTCCAGAGCCGCTCCGTATGACTGCCTCAGTTTGGGGACTAGGCTTTTTCAAACCTATCGCCCCAAGAATGAAGGCCCCAGGCAGAGAGGCCCCGGAACAGAGCCCATGTCTTCTAGTATTGCCTCATTCAACCTGCACCTGCCCCTCGCAACTGTCCATGCATGCCACGTTGCCATTCCTAATTCTGGGCCCTTCCCTCCCTCCCACTTGGGGTTTAGGGTCTCTTCCTATCCGCCACCCTCACCACCTGCAGCTCCTGCTCGCCTTCCGCATCTCCACAGTCTTCCCTGCAGCCCCGGAGCCCTGATCCATCTCACCCGGCGCGCACTCCACCTCCCTGCACGTCCATCCCGCCCTTCCGTGCTATTAAATGACGGGCTGCGAGGCTCATTGCTTAGTGTCTCTCCCCTGCTAGAACTGAAGCTCCATGACAGCAGAGATGTTTTTTCCCTTGGATTCTTTTTTTCCTGTTTCATCTAAAGTAGTGGCTAAACCATTTCAGGGTTTGGCTCTCTCCTCTAGCACGGTTTCCCACCTGCATCACAAAAGTGATGCGAAGGATGCTTTAATTTCTCTGAACCGAAGGGGCCTTGTAGTTGGGCAGACACCTAGTATACCCTACATGCTTCTCCCCCTCCTCCAAATTAATAGTGTTGTTTTTGTTTGTCTCTTCCAAGTACGCAGCATAAATCCCAAAGGAAAAAGCGAGATTACCTACTTCTTCTGAAAGTGATGTCT